AAAAAATAAAATAATTTAATTAATTCAATATAAAAAATAAAGAAATTAATTAGTTTCGATTCTTATTCGGTTATTCGGTTCTTGGTCTAGACCCGAGACCCGACCCAAACCCATCGGTTCTCGATTCGGGTACCCGTTCGGGTATTTAATTTATGAAGAACGGCTCGATTCGGTTCGGTTCGGGTTCGGGACTTTTGGACACCCCTAGATATCTTGCATTTTATTATATTTAATAGTTTAACTTATTCAAAATTAATTGTAAGTCATGTACTTAAAATTGAATACGGTATATTTGAACAGTGTGCATTGGAGCACAATGAAAATGAATTTCATCTTCCAATGCATTTTTAAACTAAATATATTGTAATCAAATACGCTCTAAAAGGATGGATGTTTGATTAGTATCATTATACATGAACTTATCGAAACCAATTGTAAGTCGTATGCTTAAAAACCAATATGATATACTTGATCGATGTGTAGTGGAGTACAATGCTCAAGCTACCCTTCCTATATGTTTTTAAATGAAATGGGTTGAAATCACGCATATACTAAAACGTTAGAAGTTTGAAAGGCATCTTGTCTTTTATCATAAATGATGGTTTAACTAATTCAAAATCAATTGTAAGTCATGAACTTAAAAATCAAATGCGGTACATTTGAATTGTGTGCAGTGAAGCAGGATGAATTGTATAAAATGATGTTCGCCTTCCTATACTTTTTAAAATGAAATAGGTTGAAATCCAACACAATTTGAAAGTTTAGAAGTTTCATTGACATCTTATCTTTCATTATACGTGATAATTTAACTTATCGAAATCAAATTATAAGTTGTATACATAAAAATCAAATGTGATATACTTGAACAGTGTGTAGTGAAACATGATGATGAAGCACTTTCCTATGTGTTTTTAAACGAAATAGGTTGAAATCAAACACAATCTAAAAGATTAAAAATTTAATTGGCACATCTTTCGTTATAAATGACGTTTTAACTAATCGAAATCAATTATAAGATGTAAACTTAAAAATTGAGGGTCTGTTTGGTACAGATTTTCATTTTCTACAGTAAATCAATTCTCATTTTTAACCACACATTCTTCAATAAAATAATATTTTTCATCACATCAATACTTTTTTCTTCTTTTTCAACCACACATTTCCCATCATATCACTATTCAAAAATCAATTTTTCCCCCAAAAATCCCTACCGAACACACTCTGAATACGGTGTACTTGAACTGTTTATAGTTGAGCACGATAGTTGTATTTAATAAAGTTCGTCTTCATGTACATTTTTAAGAAAATAGGTTGAAATTAAACACATTTTAAAAGGTTAGAAGTTCAATTGGCTCTTTCATTATACATAATGGTTTAACTTATCAAAATCAATTGTAAGTCGTATACTTAAAAATTGAATGCGGTATACTTGAAAAATGTGTAGTGGAGCACGATCCCATGTATATTACAATGTATGCTTTATGTTGTGAGTTTTTGTTGTAATTCATACCTAATTAGCGATGTACGAATGTTGGACATTTTTTTTATTTCAAATAACAAATTATGAATGACATCTCGTTTTTTGATTATATACTTGTTTTTCTATACATTTTTAAACGAAATATTTTGAAAGCAAACCAAACACAGTTTAAAGTGTTATGGCCCTGTTTGGTACAGATTTTCATTTTTTACAGTAAATCAATTCTCATTTTCAACCACACATTCTTCAATAAAATAATATTTTCCATCACATCAATACTTTTTTCTTCTTTTTCAACCACACATTTCACATCATATCACTATTCAAAAATCAATTTAAATAATATTTTCCATCATATCAATATTTTTTTCTTCTTTTTCAACCACACATTTCTCATCATATCACTATCCAAATCAGTTTCAAAATATATTATTATTTAACTTATCCAAATCAATTGTAGGTCGTATACTTAAAAAATCAATACACTATACTTGAACATTATTAGTGAAGCACGATAAATTGTATATAATGAAGCGCGTCTTCCTATTCGTTTTAAACTAAATATGTCGAAACTAAATATGATCTATAATATTAGAAGTTTGATACACATCTTATATTTCATTATACATTATTGTAAGTCACATACTTTAAAACTAATCACGATATACTTGAACGTTGTTAGTAGAACACGGTGAATTGTATAAATGAAGTTCGTCTTCCTGTGTATTTTTGAACGAAATAGGTTGAAATTAAACAATGTTTATAAAGTTGCATGTTTGATTGACATTTTGTCTTTCATTATACATGATGATTTAATTTATTCAAATTAATTATAAATCGTATACTTGAAAATCAAATACATTATATACTTAAGCAATGTATCATTATAATGAAGTTTTTCTTCTTATAAATTTTTAAACGAAATATGTTGAATGTTGAAGAAATAGATACCAAATTAAACAAATTCATAAAAAAAACAACTACAAGTGTTTCTAACGACTTGAGTTATTGTTCGAAAAGACTAGGGTCTTTTTAAATTACTCAACTAAGGTCGTTTAAAAAGACTCACTATAGCGACGAGTCATTTCAAATGACTCGTCTTTTTGTAAAAATGATCATGGAGGAAAACGACTATAGTAGTTTAGAGCCCTTTTTTAAAAAATTAGCTGGAGTGAACAGTGTATAGTGGAGCACGATGATAACCGAAGTCTCTCAAAATTGAATGTAGATAGCAAATTGAATTGCAATTTCATAGTAATTTTGAGATAAGTAAAAGCAAATTCTGAAAGCTGTTCACATTTTCATCAGAGAATAGCAGCCTTGCTGTGAAAGAATCATTCGCAATTTGGATCGACATAGCTCCTAAAGGAGCTTTGAATTAGTTAAAAAAAATTTAACTCCCACATCCTAAATGATCAAGGAATCATCACAACAAATAGTGTATGTTCAAAGAATCATTCACAGTTGCCTGAAACTGAAAGCATTCTGTGACAGGTTACCTAATGATGATTTCAAAATTCTATCAGAAAGCAAATACACAGCCTCCACAGATATTAATATTTGATGGGATGATGTTTATGATCCATCCTTTGTCCTAAGGATATTTGGGTCGATGTCCACTCAAGTTGTCCTCAATAATTGGAGACAAATGGCCGCCACGTCCTTCATGTTGTAAAGTCGGTTCAACCTCAACGAGTTGATGCCATTTCATGTCTTTCAAACACTTTACCACAGCCGGAATCTCCCGGCAAAGGTGAAGGGCAAGAAACGGAGAAGAATTGGTACTACTACACATTTAACATTCCGTTTAACATCTGGAGACGAGTTTGAAGAATTTGAGACATGAAACGAAACTCGATTACTTGAGAGAATTGCTCCATAAACAAAGAGACAGAATATCCATTATTAAAACGTGCAAAGAGAAGGGGATATATTAATGATTTAATAGGTTAATTAGAAACAAAGCAAGTCCAAATAATTGCTAATCTGAACAACAACTGCTACATATCATGACTATAATAATAATAATAAGTACACAAGCACTCTCAAAAATAATTTGAAGAAAGTGCTACAAAACTAGACCCCATCGACGGTCCGGTCCACCTGTTCCAGCCTGCCTTTTCTTCAGTATCCAGTGGGCAATTCGCATTTTCCATACTCTAAAAAGACAAGACAGTCAAAAAAGAAAGCATCTTCAGCATATCTATGCACTCAAATCTTTCAGAAATTTCTATAGCTTTTTAATCAAAATTGAAAAGAGACATACTTTTTCTCCTTTTCACCACAAGAATATTAGAAATAATATTCTTGGCCTTATCAAGATATTCGTGATGATTAGTGATTTGATTAGATTAATGTGGTAATTTTTTATTGTCCATCAAATTATTAACAGTCGCATATATGTCAGATATAGAACGAGCAACTGTATAAAATTATTCAGTTAACGTTAGCCAAATTTAGGGTTTATATTAAATAAAGATAAGAAGGAATCCATGGCCACCCAAATAGTCGAATTTCAGAAAAGTTCACGTGGTGCCCCATTTACCCTAGTTTCCACCACTAGTCGTGGTGGATCCCATTCAGTCATTCTTTACGTCAGCACATGTTAGCAATTCATACCTACAACTCCTAATATGCGCCATAAAGTTTCATCTGCCCAACAATTTTGTTTGATTCAAGATTCACCACATGTGGCAGCACAATTCTGTTCCCTAAAGTTTGTCCTTTACCCATTTTGTAATTAAATATTTTTCTAATATTTAAGTTCAAAAAAATAGGACTTACTGGGCTGTTGAGAAACAATGTAGGCGGCCCCACCAAAATAGCAAGTACCAATGCCACGTCCCTTCTTCTGATAGTAACTATTGAAAGCAAACGAAGCGTGCGCCTCGAGAGTGTTAGGATTGAAACACGTAGACCCTGGCTGGATCGGATGGCAATCAGCACCTCCTTCCCCACACGCATAATCTAGACCCGCTTGTAGCTTAGCTTTCCCCGCCTGTGCACTAGCCACGCACCATGTCTGTCCATTTGAGGCTCCGGTTGACACTCTCTGTTCACCGCCGGTCGACGGCGAACGGTCTCCTCTGTAACTCTTGAGTCCCTCCGCCGTGAACGGAATGTTGTAAACCTTCTTCTCGTTAGGGTAAAAGAGACCGAAGTTTCGTTCAGATGTGGGTCCGAATTTCTGGTTCTCGTTGAAGAGAGCGAAGAGGTAGACGGTGATATCTTCGTGCGGCCTGAGGGGAGTCCCGCCGCCGGTGAGGACTCGCCGGACCAAGTTTCCATTGTACGCGGCGGCGTTTTCGATACTTGCTCCGACCTCGTTTGAGTCTCCTTTAGAAGGCCAGCCGGTTTCTGTTACTGTGATCTTGACGTCGTCATATTTCAACGCCGACATTGCAGCAAAAACGGCGTCGATTTGTGCATCGAAAAGCGAGAAGTAGCGCAGACCGTTCCTGGCGTCAACCACCCCGGGATTTTCCCGGAAAAGTGCGTAATCCAAAGAAATTACATCAGCATTTGACTCGTAGGCAAAGAATGGGTAGATATTCACCATGAGAGATGACCCGGTTTGTCTTAGGAATTCAAGCATGGGTTTAAACACCGGTTCAATTAAATCTGGCCGGAAGGACCCTGCTGAGGAAGGATAAGAATTCTGCAATGCACTAAGAGCAACCGGAGAAGACACCTTAATGGTGTCATCGAGCTTGTACTTGACCAAAGCTTGATGTATATTCTTAATGGCAGAGATGAGGAACCGGGTTGTATTGTTTGTGTCCACGAACACCTCATTGCCAATGGCGATAGCTTCAATGGCGGTGGAAGGATAGTAGGACACCACATTGCGAAGAACCCAAGCATTGGCGAAGGAAGGACGTTTCGCAGCATTGGAGAGTTGCTCGTTTGGGAGATTGACAACAACTTTAATTGCAGTCCCCGATAATGCCTTAAGAACTGCCGGATCTGTGTCGTACATCTTCACCCGCTGGATGCCCTGAGACTTCATGAGCTCGACCACCTTCGCTGCTGACGGCAAATTGTTGGCTATTCTACCATAGTTCACCCCGATCGAGCCTCCATCTGGAAAATGCACCACAAAGTTAATAATAATTTTTCATGCAAATCAAATGGCAACATAAATTCCTTGAAACGAGGAAAGGGAGAGGAGAGTACCTGCAAAAGAGAAAATGTAGCAAAGTATTGGAAGTAGCAAAGAAATCTTGAGGAGTTCCATGCCCTGAATCTGCATTCTGCCCCTTTTTTGTGTGAGACCAAGGTAGTGGGGAGTGGGAGCAGAGGTAGAACGGATGGATGTGTGTTGAGCGGATCGAGGTTTGGGACGTAGGGACTACATATATCAGTGATTTATGGGCATCCACAGTAACAAATTTCACAACGTAAACTTTTTCTTTTTTCACGACTGTACTTGCTTTTTGATTTTTATCACATATTTCTTGAAAATTAGAAATATTTCTGATTTTATTTACTATTACTCCCAAAATTTCTACAAAACACACTTGACGATTTTCTATTGGAAATTGCTGTTTTATTTATGTACCTCTCTATGTAAATAAATTATGTACAACAAGCATTATCCTTTATTTATTCATTCATAACTTGTATTTCTTAAAAATCAGAAATATTTTTCATTTATTCATTCCTAACTTATTTTTATATATTTATAATAAATTTTTATATAAAGAACTCCCAACAATAATTAATCCATATTATACGTCATAAAGAAGTGCTAAAATAACAAAAATAAAGTCAACAATTAATTTTAATAACATATATTTTCGAAATTTATATTTTTTTATCAACTTTTGAATTATATATTCCATCAAATTTTATTAAAATTTACTAAAAAAATATTTTTTAGTAACATCGAAAAAGAGCAATTAGTGCATTAGAAGCTAACTTATCCTTCGAGTTGAGACTTTGATTTAGCTAGAAACGTCTCATTTAACTGAGTCAATCTGCAGATCAGCCTGTTTCACGAAGTAAAGACCCTATTGAACGGTGCCAATGCTTCTGTGTCCACTGTAGAAAAATATCTATAGATGCGATGAGAATAAGCCACGATGATAATGTCTCGATGATCACAAACAATTGCTCTTGCCATAATAACACATTGTGCCTCATGGATAGCCGCATTAGAATGCAGTTTCAAAGCATCTTCTTACAATTTTTGGCTGCTCTGCTGAACTTTTATCTTAAAAGATTTATTGACTAACAATTAAGTGCTTGTTTGATAAAATTTTGCTAACAATGGGATAATAGGATGTCTCGGATCTGATTTTTATTTTGAATATTCTTTGCCTTTCTAATTATTCTTGTAATCTCCTATATTAGGATAGTGGCCATTTAAATTATTCAGTTTCTTTATTCTGATGATTAGGTGCAGCATCAGCCTTGTATATATATACACCCCACATTGTGAATAAATTATAATTGAAATCATTCTTCCATAAACACGTTATGGTATCAGAGCCTGAAGGCTAACGCCGCCCATCTATCCCTTTTTTATTATTTTTCAAGCCATGGCCTCCACTCAAAATACACCGCCATCTACCACCTCCCAAACTGCCATCCTTAATCCTGCAGACAACACCACACACCTCGTTGCCACCAATGTTTCAGCACAAGCACCTCTGAAACTCACATCCACAAATTACACCGCATGGAGGCTCCAATTTAAAACACTTCTCATCGGATACGACTTGCTTGGTTTTATTGATGGAACAAAACCATGCCCTCCTTCCACTGTCATGGATAATGGTGTTTCGAAGCCCAATCCGGATTATCTCCTGTGGATACGTCAAGACCAACTTTTGCTCAATGCCATAATCGGCTCTCTCACACCATCCCTAATCCCGTTTATTGCTACTGCAAAAAATCCCATGATGCTTGGACGACTTTTTCCAACACCTATGCCAAGCCGACCCGAGGGCGAATTCTTGGTCTCAAGGGCAGACTCACTAACCCCGTTAAAGGCACTCAATCTATCACTGAATTTATGCAAGGTATCAAAACCACTGTTGATGCACTATCTCTTATGAATGTCTCGGTTGATTCGGAAGATCTTGTCATCAAAATTCTTAACGGTCTCGATGAAAACTATAAAGAACTCTCCAATGCTATTCAAGCACGAGAAACGTCCATCTCCTTCGATGAGCTACATGAAAAACTTCTCAACCATGAAGCACAACTGGCGGCCAAAACAGATTACTCATCTCCTACCCCTGCCACGGCTTTTCCCGCTACTCGGTCCACCCCACATAATCGCACTTTCCTGCCCCAGCCAACCCGTGGTCCGTCCCGTTCCTTTAATTCTTCTCGCAGTCAGTCCACTCGACCTCTGCATGCCTCCTTCACATCGCGGCTTTCATTTCCTGTCGGCAATCCAGGACAACGCCCGTATATCGGCCGCTGCCAGTTGTGTGAACAACACGGACACTCTGCAAAATGCTGTGCAGTTTTCAAGCATATACCATGGACTTCCACTGCCCAACAGTCCCGTTCCCCACTTCGTTCAGCCTACATGACACCTAGTGTTCACACGGCTACTCATCCAATGGCTTCTCCAACACCCTCTGAATGGATCCTAGACTCAAGTGCTTCTCATCATGTCACCACTGATCTTGCGAACCTCTCGGTTCACTCACCTTATGATGGTTTTGATGATATTGTCATCGGTAATGGTAAAGGTTTGGTTATCACTCATACTGGTTTTCTTAATCTACCTACTTCATCCTCCTTGTCCTTCCCCAATATTCTCTGTGTTCCAACTATGACCAAGAATCTTATATCGGTTTCCCAATTATGTCACTTCAACAATGTTAATGTTGTCTTTTCCATGTCTGGCTTTCAGGTGAAGGATCGTCAAACGGGGGCCCTTCTTCTCCAAGGACCATATAAGGATGGTATCTATTATTGGCCAGTCACCACGGACTTGTCGGCTCCACCATGTGCTCTCTCATCTGTCATTCCCTCCATGTCTTTGTGGCATTCCCGTCTTGGTCACCCTTCACGCAACATTATTCGTCATTTAGCCTCATCTAATGTCTTTTCTTTATCTTCCCAGCTTTTATCAAATTTCTCTTGTAATTCTTGCAAAATTAATAAAAGTCATAAGCTTCCGTTTCATGAATCAACACTTTCCTCTTCGACACCCCTTGAATTAATTTTTTCTGATGTGTGGTCTTCTCCCGTTCTCTCTGTTGATGGATTCAAATACTACGTTGTCTTTGTTGACCACTTTACTAGATATATATGGTTGTATCCTCTCAAGCGGAAAGCAGATGTTCTTGACACTTTTGTCAAGTTCAAGTCACTTGTAGAAAACTACTTCAAAACTAAAATAGTTACCTTATACACAGACAACGGGGGAGAATATATTGCACTTCGTTCCTTTCTTGCCTCTAGTGGGATTACACATCTCACAACACCTCCACATACTCCGGAACATAATGGTTTTTCAGAACGCCGTCATCGTCACATTGTTGACACCGGTCTCACCCTCCTCCATTACGCGTCCATCCCTCTTAATTTCTGGCCCTTTGCCTTTGCCACAGCTACCTATCTCATCAATCGAATGCCCAAGTCCAATCTATCCATGATGTCTTCATTTGAAAAATTGTTTGGTCGTTCACCTAACTTTCAAAAACTTCGTGTCTTCGGATGTCAGTGCTACCCATGGCTACGTCCGTATACCTCTCACAAATTAGAACCTCGATCTCGTGCTTGTGTCTTTTTAGGCTACTCCTTAACACAGAGTGCCTATCTCTGCTATGATCCATCATCCTCCAAAATTTTCACTTCTCGTCATGTTGAGTTTGTTGAAAACGTGTTTCCGTTTTCCATGTCCACCTCATCTGTCCCTCACTCAAGCCCTTTGCCTTCTTCACCTCTTTTCTTTAAAGTCCCGTCTACCTCGTGTGGTGGTGGTGCTGGTTTGCCTCCCTTGCTCAATGATGCAACCCCATCCTCGGTCCCGCTCTCGGCCTCCAATGATGATCCCTCACCGCCGAACTCTGCCTCTGTCTCTCCCATTCCCCAGGTTACTTCCACCTTACCCACAACTACACCTAATGAACACCCCATGCTTACACGCTCAAAAAATAATATTCACAAACCGAACCCCAAGTATTGCCTTGTCTCTTCCCATCCACCTACTAACATTGAGCCCACCAGTGTAACTCAAGCCCTTACTGATCCACGATGGCGCTGTGCTATGTCAGCTGAGTTTGATGCTCTCCTTCGAAATGGTACTTGGGATCTAGTTCCTTCTAATGGCTCGCAGAATATTGTTGGTTGTAAATGGGTGTTTCATATCAAGCGCAATCCCGATGGTTCTATTGACAAATACAAAGCTCGCCTCGTTGCCAAAGGTTTTCACCAATGGCCTGGCATTGATTACTATGATACTTTCAGCCCAGTCGTAAAGCCCACTACTGTTCGTCTTGTTCTGAGTCTGGCACTATCACGTGGTTGGGCCCTTCGGCAACTTGACGTCAATAATGCTTTTCTTCATGGTCATCTTGATGAAGAGGTCTTTATGGCACAGCCCCCTGGTTTATTGATGCCAACTTTCCCTCTTATGTGTGCAAACTCAAGAAAGCCATCTATGGTCTTAAGCAAGCGCCTCGTGCATGGTATCAAGAACTTAGCCGCTTTTTGCTTGCATTGGGCTTTGTTCATGCCCAATCGGACACGTCTCTCTTTGTGTTCAACCGCGATGGTGTTCTTGCTTACTTCTTGGTGTATGTTGATGACTTGATCCTTACGGGTAGCGATACCGCCTTTGTCTCTCGTATCATTGTTCAGTTGGCTGCCAGGTTCTCCATCAAAGATTTGGGGGCCCTATCCTTCTTTCTTGGTATCGAAGTTCTCTCACGCCAACACTCGTGCTTCCTCTCCCAACAGAAGTACATTGTGGATAACACTCGTGCTTCCTCTCCCAACAGAAGTACATTGTGGATTTACTTGCTCGGCACAACATGCTTTCTTCTAAACCGGTTCAGACACCTCTTGCAGTTGGTACTACACTTTCACTCTATGATGGCTCTTCCCCCACGGATGCCACTTTGTTTAGACAGGTTGTTGGGAGCCTTCAATATCTTCTTGTCACGCGCCCTGACATTGCCTTCGCAGTTAATAAGCTCTCACAATTTATGCATGCACCGTCTGAACATCATTGGGGTGTTGCCAAGCGTCTACTCCGCTATCTAAATGGCACTCGTGATCTTG